CTTCACAATCTCGCCCGCCTCCTGCACGAAAAAAATCTTAGATATTCTGTAACCCCCAAAGAGAGAGAAATTGGCAAAATCCGGATCCAAAATAGTCATCAATTGATCCGACTCAATCGCCTAGAATCTGTTCTGCATCTTTTTGTAGACTACAACATTTCTGCATCATGGGGATTCTGCACAGGAAAACGTCAACATGAAACCCCAACCCCAGGCATCGACCTGGCCCGGTCTGGTTCTCCGGTTCCGCGCCTTGAAGAGGAACAGCACTGCATTGACCTACCGGGTCTGTGAATACAGAGATGATTTGATGAGAAGAGACCTGTTTGACTTTCTGGTGCTTAGCAGGGAATGGATGGGAATGGAAGAATGGGATGATTATTACTAGTGATTATGGATCATTCCCTCATTCCCTCATTCCCTGCTAAGAACCAGTAAGTTATTCACCTGTGAATAATAATAAGAATATGTAATAGAGAATCATACAGAGTTTGAGCACATGACGTTTGATATGGTTACATCTGTATACATCTGTTGCATTCAAACTGTACGAAATCAGGCCTACTACGAAAAGAAACGCTCGTGGAGATGATTTACTATTAATTCTTTCCACCATTTACTAATATAGATTGCCAATGTTAAATGGTTTACACTATTTACACCAATGCACCATGGCCGAATCAAAAACATGGATTTAAAAAATATATCTTTCCAAAAATGCCAATGGTGAGTTTCCATTAATATAGCTATGTTAAATTGCCAGCTAAGCTATCGATTATTGCTGTAGAAAAATCTGTACAGAATGCTGGTCATGTTGGGAAGTCTTTGGAGAACTGAAAAAGTCTGCTTCCATAGCTGGCTTCCATAGCCAGATGTGGTTTTCTGAAAAAAATGGATACCAGAATTTTTCTGGCCATTGATTTCAATGTTGAAATGATCATCAAGCACTGGGTCGTGGGGGCATTGATTCGTCTATAGTTCAAAACAAAACCAAACTGTACCCTCTAGTTCATTTCAAACTAGCTATATAATAAATGGATGTACGTGGATCTTCATTCCCCCAAACCATATAGAAAATCATTGGAAATCAGAGTCCTTCGGACATCTTTCCACAAAAACATATGGAAAATCCTCGGGTTTTCACATCTATTTCTGACTTTAATCAATTCCCACACTAGACCATCACCACCCCATACCCGCCATACCCACTGCCACCTCCATGGGCTGTACAGCCTGCAAGTTCTGCGTGAGTTGCGAACAACTGGCTTGCACAAACTGGAAGCCAAGCCTCAGATTTCAAGGGACGGAAAATTTCAAAAAGCACCAGGCTTTACAGGCTATAGGTGTTTTTGTTTCCACTAAATTGTGGGGATATTATTTCTATGTCAAATATTGGGAATTGTTAACCACGCCAAAGATAGGGATTAGCTGCCATAAATAAGGAATTCATACATGGGTTTGACCATAAATCTGTCAAACTCATAATAAATTGGTGTTTCACTGCAAAGTGTATCGTTCCGATTTGGGCGCACAATCCGTTGTTGGGGCCCCCTAGTTGGAAATTGGTTTATATAGCCCCATCAAACTCTAGTTATATCCCCTAGAACGCCTTGTTACCATAGTGAATCAGTTACTTGGCAGTGTGTCAAAACCTTGTACCCCTTCTGTTCACATCAAAATAGCTGGTTTAGCTGGATGTTCATCCCCCTCAAAATGGTATTAATAGGTATTGATCCATAGCCACTTAGCTAACTATGGGGCCCCTTCCGAGTCGTCCATGCTTCAGTCGATCTTCAACAACAGTCGGCTCCCCGACTGCTCGTCCACCAGGAAAATCCGCCTGGGGAATCCGCGGGATTTTATCTGTGGTGATGCTGTCAAAGCACCAACTGCTTGGTGGTTGAGCCACCTACCTACCCATGATTTATATCCCATTTCTATATGGTTAATATGATGGGAATCCCAGAAAAACAATACCATTAATACCATGAACTATTGAATGTTTAATATGATTAGTTATCTGCTTGGTGGTTGAGCCACCTACCCATCTGAAAAATGATGGACTTCGTCAGTTGGGATGATCATTCCCAACAGAATGGAAAGTCATAAAAATTCATGTTCCAAACCACCAATCAGCCGAAAAAATCCTATGACCAACTCTATGAAAAGTGGGATAAGATTGGGATTTACTAAGAACTATGTTAAACATGGATTATGGATGATTATGGATTTACCGTTCACCAAAAAAAAGAACTATCACCAACTCTATTAAAATTGGGACTTACCAGAGTTGGTGATAGGAATTGATGGTCCAATTTCCTGGTGCGTGATGCTTGAACCATGGCAAACAAACTTCAAAATCATCAAACATGGAGTTGAAGCAGCAAAATGGGGCTAGAATCCAGAAGTGATGGTTGATTGATGTTGAATCGTGCAGTCATGATGGTTTTTCATGGGGATTGCTGTAATCCAATTTTTTGGGAACGGCGTCCTCGAAGCAGTAGGCGCAGTAGGATAAAGATATTAGCTCACTTGAACATGGATTGGCTTGCTGGCGGAGCAACCAACCGGAAGCCATGGTTTGTACCATCAAGTTGATTGGGTCTTGCTGCAGGTTTTGCTGCAGGTTTTCCCATCATTCGTTTCTGGTGGATGAATTTGCCTTGGAAAGATGTCATTGGTGGTGCAGTGGCTTTGCTGATTTTCCCAAAGATATGAAGGTCAATTAGGGCCCCATTTTTATAATCCCATTTTTTGGGGGAATGAAGAAATCTTTGAAACCACCTGTGTTGGGAGAGGTACATGCTTATATCCAGTGTATATATATATGTAATATACGTCCATTACATCCCATCAAGTATCATCCTTGGTCATTGTTCACACATATATCGTCATATATCAATAAATACATTAAATTATAACTACTGAAACAATGATACCACCGGGTACCTCCAATATCCTCCAATTTTGCTGGCTAGATTCACCACAAGCTTTGCTTCTACAACCATAAGCCGCGAAAAATTTCCCATTCTGTAGCTGCTGAAGCATCTTTGATGCACCAAGCTGCTTGTAGATCTTTGCCAAGCTCTTTCTGAATTCCATGAAGGCCACATGCTGCCTGCCAAGCCGCCAAGCCGCCAACCGACAAGTCGCACGACAGTCGCATAAAAAAAATGGGATCTAACGGGAAAGTTGAGGATTGAAACCCGGAAGAAATGATTTAAACATATCTAAACAGCAAAAAAATGTGAATATATGTGAATTGAACCACAAACAAGAGTTGATTTCACCAGTAAAAATGATGAGCAACTCACCATAAATGGTGAGTGAACCACCAAAAAGGTGGATTGGCACTGGATTTCTGTCTGGATCTGGGATTTATCTGAACCAACTTAGAACTGGGATCCTAGGAGTCTACCTGCATAAGAGTTTGCGGGAGGAACGGGAGGAGCGGGAGGAACCTGAAACATGGGAGGCATTTGTTTGCAATGCCATTCGGAAACATCTGGAAACCGACTCATGGACTGGACTTCAGGAAGATTCTGAAGTTCGAGATGTCTTGTTTATTGTGATTGGACTACAGCTGTTGCATTTTGGGCCATTTGAGGCCTGGAATGCCCAGCTTGAGATGGAGATATCCAAGTCCCACGGAACCGTCATAGTCTGGTTGAATACGCACCGACGCACCTGGAACTCTACAAC